TGCAGAGGTGGGAAGGAAAGTCTATAGTTAAACTGCTGAAGTCAATCTGTAATGCAACCCGTAATGCAACTTCTGCAGTTACTATCCAGTTGGCATTTGCAACTACTTAGGAGTTAGAGTTAGGATTCTGATGTTGTCTCCTTACCCCACTAATGCTACCAAGTGTGGCTTGTACAAGCTCATGTTATGCAATGCAGCACAAGGGCTGCAAGCATCCCTCTCCTGGGTTAAATCATTCTCAGCATTTTTATGGGAATCATTGCAAGTCATTCTTTACTTCCATTGCAGCTTCCCTCTGAAAACAGTAGTCAATATCTGTTCAGAAGTGTTCTCTCCTCTGATCGATAACATTGAGGACTAGAGCTCTGACTTTTTTATTATTATTATTAAGATAATTAGTTAGTTAGTTCTAGGGATCATCCATTATTTCTGCAACCAAGTCCAATGTGCTGCAGGTCTAGTTTAAAAGACAAATAATCCCAAAGTGAAGTTTTAGAAGCTAAAGAAGCATAATTCATTTGCAATAACTTGATATTTTATGCTTCACTGCAATTTATTGGTTATATATGAAAACACACAAGGGCCTTTTCTTTATAGTGCAAAACATTCACTGTGTTGCCCTGCCTGGCTAAAAATAATACCAAGCCATGATTCCTTCTCTAAATGTTGATGAAACCAAAACAAGAAAATGGTAATATGAAAGGAATTGAGTGTTAGAGCGTTAGAGTTAAATGCTCTTTTTTAAATTTCTCTTCTTGATAAAAATAGCATAGTACTTACATGGATGCTGTGAGAAAATAATTTAAAGTATTAATATGCATGGTTTTAAAATATCTCACTTTTTAAAGCAGAAACCATGTTTGTCCTGGTATCCTTACCAGATTTCTCTCTTCTCTTAAAAATCTCCTATGTGTTTTCCAATGCATGCAGTATCATTTATATTCTGAATTTATGTATTATAAACTGTTAAGCAGATGCAGCTTCACTTCACCACCAAAATTTGTATTGCAGCCCTCACTGAATGCTATGCCTAGTAATTTTTCATTTAAATGCTATGATATCAGAGAAGCAGAGTGCAGTCTTCTGCTATGAGGGGTAGCCCAGTCCATTTCACCTATTTGTCTCCATTACTCCTACTTGACAGCTGACTTCAGGACTTCATGCCTCTAAGTTGGAAACCTTCTTCAAATGTCTTATCTGATGGTATTTTTTGGACAGTTTATATCCCTTTCTTAGGATAGAACCACAGAATCACAGAATATTCATGGTTGGAAGGGACCTCTAGAGATCATCTAGTCCAACCTTCTCGCTCAAGCAGGCACACCTAGAGCATGGTACTCTTCGACCTTTAGCTTAAGTGATTCCCTTGACATCCTGCCATTATTTCCTTGACATCTCTGTGAAAAGCAACCAGTCGTATCTCCCCCTTCCACCTGCATACTGCAAGATTAAACAAATCAAGCTTCTATAAAATCTTGGTTGACAATATTCTTTCCAGTCTCTGAACACATGAGTCTCTCCTCTAGGCTGAACCCAACTGCCCTGAGAAAAGGAGACCTGAGCACAGATTTCTAGATAAGCTATAACCTATCCAATAACCTGAACTCTTCCCTGTCCTTACCAGACTCTACCTTATCCTATAATGACCTCTGCCTTTTTCCACAACTGTGAAGCACTGAGGCTCATAATAATCTATTGACTGATCAGTACATCACCAGTTTCCAAAGTATGATCCCTAAATGAAAGAACAGGCCCTCTAAATTAATAGATTTAATCCCAAGTCAGTCATTCCAAGTTTTTGAGGCCAGCCTTCTTCATAATGTCCTCAACCTAGTCTATACTATGCGAATTCACAAAGAATATAAGATCTGCACCTGGACTCCGGGAGTTACATTATTGTCTGCCCTCCAACTTGATATTTCCTTTCCTACAAACTGGTAGCTAATTTCTAACTCAATTTACAAGTTTTATGAATCTCTTTTTTATTATTATTATTTTAGCAATGATTTTCAATACCATACTCAATCAAATGTTTTGCTGAAGTCCAGATGAAATCCACTTAATTCTGTTTGTCTAAAGAAGAAAATGCTTGTCTTTTCAGGGGGAAATATCTGTTTCATTTGTTGACTTTCTTCCAACTCATGATGTGCTTTTGGATGCAGTTATTTGTTTGATTTGGCATGCAACCATACTCCCTATCTTCCCTACCTGCAACTTTACAAAATTCCAGGAATTTTTGACTTCTCAGTCCTGAATGGAATGTTCAGACAGATGTCATTGTTTCCCTTGACCTCCAAAAGCTTGACCTTTTACAGTTCATTTACAAACTACTCTCTATTTTTCCTTCTCTTTAATCCAGAGTGCTTCAACTCACATTCACTTAACTGCAGGCACATGTTAAAAGGTACCAAGTCATGATATAACTAGTATGTAAATATGGCATGCCAAGAGGGCTGCCATTGATGATGTTCTGTGTGGAACAACTGTGTATGCCATCTGCTATTGCACTTCATCAAATAAAAGGATGAGAGATAAAATTGCCAGAAAGATTTGTTTTCTTTCTATTAACTCCAATTCTCAAATCTTCTCCCTGCCTGAGAGAAATAAGAGGTTTGGAGAAGCATATTAATCCTGTTCCCTGCAGACAAAATGAGGCTTATTGTAACATCCTCTCTATGGGGCTGTCCTTTGAGCCCCCCTAGAAACAAGCTTGTGGAGGATGTAGCTGTGAAGTGCTGTGTTAGGAGCCTGCTGGGCTGAGATCAGTTTTGGCTTTTATTAAGCTTCCAAGTGGAATGTAGATGCTGGTATTAACTGCAAAGCCTTGAATGGGTGAGGGCTGGGTTACCAGAGAAGGAGCCTCTCTCCCTGTTACTGTTAAACCAGTAGAAATTTGAACTGAACTGCTCTCACCAACACGAGGCAGCGGAAAGCAGAAGCAGCTTAATACTGAAATGCAATCATCCTTAGGTCAGAATACAAAAGCCCTCTGGCATCAGCTAGCAGCACAATGAAGCATTTTGGAAGAGGAAATACAGTCCATTAAATCAACAGAAGTTTTCCAAGCACTTCAGAGAATGCAACAACGCTTTTTTGGAACAGCACCCAAGGGCTATTTTGTTAAGAAAATACTATGGACATTATAAAACATTTAAACATATAAACAACATTTAGGTCCCATGCTGACTATTTCCAGTCTCATAACGATCTTAGCAGAGCCAGAACCTTAGTTGAGTATTGTCCATATTAAAGATAAACATTTTATTAATAAACAGAGTCAAGAAGAGGAATTATTATTGGCTCACCATGTATAAGCAATCAGATTGCTTCTGCAAAATCTCTTGTATTGGCAAAGGGGAACCAAAGATGTTGTTGTAGTCAATTACTACAAGTAATCTCTTTATTAAGTATCATTGCATGATACAATTCAGTGGACAGAGGATCCCCAGTCTAGTAAAAGACTACCCTATGCTATCACAGACATACTGCAACAAGGGAAATTCCAATTAGACATTAGGAAAAATAAAAGCTCACCATGAGAGAGATGAAACTGGAACAGGTGCCCAGAGAAGATGCTGATCTTCCATCCTTGGAGGTATTCAAAATTGGACTGTACAAAGCCCTGAACAAGCTTCTTTAATATTAAATTGGACCTAACTTTGGAGTAGCCTCAGCTTTGAGGAGGTTGAACCATATGACTTCCATAGGTCCCTTAGGACAGGAACTAGTTTACAATTTTCAGACTGCAAAGGCATCTTTTAAGTGAAAACAATGAATATTGAGGTGTTATTTGACGGTAAAAGGAGAAATAAGTAACTTTACTGAAGAGTAAATGAATTACAATACCAGTCAGATAACCACTGACTCGATGTAGGCATTAGATTTATATATTAGATTAGGCACTAGATTTATAATATCAATCTTCTCAAAGGGATCACACTGAAAATGCTAGTCTGAGCACAAATACAATTCTCCTACTCATTTTAGGAAGCAGTTTTCACCATGAATACATTCACTGAGAAACAGTAAGCATATTTGCTGAATGGTTATACTGTTTGCACAGCCAGTAACAGGAAGACCATCAGAATTGACTACTGCAAGATTTAGCAGTGGTCAGCAGCTCAGAGTGGGTGTCTAGGGACTATGGACTTGACTTTGAAAACCAGAAAAGATGCTACTACTTACCAGTATCACAGGTAGAGATAAAACTACATTAAAGCAAAATAAGTTGTCTACAGACAACATAGTTGGAAATGGTATTCTGTGTAGTACGAAACCTCCAGTGAAGAAACTTATAGCAAGTAGTAGAGCTGTCAGATCTAGGCCATTTTTACTCACAATAAAGCTGCAGAAGATCCTCCTGCCTTCCACTGCTGTGACTTAACTTCTAGGGTCAGCCACAGATATCCTCACTACAGGCTCAAATAGTTTTGGGTGTTGGATCCCAGAAAAGAACTACAACCCATGCATAAATCTGACAAAGAAATTAAGTCCATCATCTGTCTGGAAAGATCCTAGAAGCTCCTAGAAGAGCAAAGATATCCCTAGGTCTGCTTTTCTCTATGTTTTGCCAATGTTTCAGAAGAGAGAGTTCTTCTTGTGACTTCATATTTTCTTCTTGTATATACCTATATAAGTATTTCTTCAGGGGTAATCATCATTGCACTTCATCTCACATCTCACATCACACAGCAAATAAATGAATACCTAAACTAACCAAAGAACATTGTTTTTAAGGCATACTGCCTTCCTCTGTCTTCTACACTAAGCTCCATTGCTTTTTTTAATTTGCCGCCATATCACAAGAAAGCTCATGATTAATATGTTGTCAACAAATAACTCTTTTCACTCCTGAAGTTTTAACTGTACTTCTACATCACTGAATATGTGTTAACTAACAAAATGCAAACTAGAAAACATGCAACAAATCAGAACACATCATCAAAAGCACAAAGCTATAGCATCTTAATTCACAGATGGACGGCAGTGTGCCTTTTTACCTGGAATCTCATCAGTCCCTCCAGTGGTGTGTTTGAATCGGTCTCCTTCCACATGGACATTTGGACACAGAACATCTGAAAAGCAAAAGACCATTTAGAAGTTATCACAGATAGACAAATCATTTCATAAGCCATGAAATCAGCAAAATTTCATTTTTTCTCTTCTCTTCTCTTCACAGAATCACAGAATCACAGAATATTTAAGGTTGGAAGAGACCTCTACAGATCATCTAGTCCAACCTTCCTGCTCAAGCAGGCACACCTAGAGCATGTGGCACAGGGTGGCATCCAGGCGGGTTTTGAAGACCTCCAGAG